GACCCATCAGGGCAAAATCAAGGGCTGTGGAAGCTGCTACAGATGCCCACCACTACACAGGGACAGCAGATTGAAGCACTACCCTCCCACAACACCTTTCCCTAGACAGGAGCAAAAAGGTTCATCAGACACTATTCAGCAGTCTGCATCTCACCCCCTCTTACCAACACATTCCTTACATCAGGCAGGCAGCAGCACAAGGGACTGTCTCTGGTGGGAGATATTCATAACCTCAAAAGACACTGTGGGCGTTTCAATACCACACACTATCTCAACATCCAGAAGGCCTCCAACTCCAGACCCTTGGGAGCCTGGGAAGGATCCTGGGCAAGAACACTCTCTGCCCATCCTGCCTCATGCTTTCCTCTAGGCATCCTCCATTCCACATTCTGGGACATGCGTTCTCAAGGCAAGCACATCACCTCCCATTCTTCTTTTCTTATGACATCGCCCATGGTCTACCCAAGGATTTCTACCTCCCTCAGACAAGTCTTCCCACTGCTCAAGGTCAACATTCACATCAGGACATGGCCAGGCCCTACTCAGTGACACTGCCACATTCACCTCTGTGACATGCCACAGTTCCCTTTCCCACCTCAGGGCTCACGCCAGCTCTTGCAGACCATTCCCAGCAATCAGAGCACCGTAAAAAACCATACAGACGGTATCATATAGACCGTATCCAGCAGACTCTCTCCTCTTTCTGAAGGTGATGTTGGAACAGCTCTAATTGGCAATGGCATTGATTTCATGCTGTGAGAGAACAACCCAATCGTTGACAAGCATCCCAATGTAATGGATGATATCGATTCTGTAACAGAATTCGGGGTTGGGGCTTTGTTATCAGGGCTGGGAGGGGTTGTTTCGGGTTTTTTGCTTATTTGATGGTTGGGGTTTTTTTTTGTTGAGAAGAAGGTTTCCAGAGCTTGTGTAAGGGTTTGGCTACTGATGCAGGTAGAGAAAGAACATCATAACAGGCCAGCACACAACACACCGCTTCTCTGGCCAGGAATGCAGGTCCACAACCGTTCCCATCAATGAGAGCACCATAAAAACCACACAGATGGTATCAGACACACTGTGTTGAGCAGACTCTCTGTAGTTGACCCTTCATGTTTTGCAATGCTTCACACCTGCGCGCTCTGTTATCCATCTGAAATGTTACACATCTATTTGTACAGGCGGTGTCAGGATAGCTCTAATAGCAACGACACTGATTTCCTGCTGTGAGAGAACAACCTGAATACTGACGAGCACAGCACTGTAATGGATCATATCTAAAGTGTAGGACAATTGGGTTTTTTTTTTTTTAAAGAAAACTCAAGCGGGTCCAGAGGAGGGGCACGAAGATGATCAGGGAGCTGGAGCATCTGGGGTTCTTTATCCTAGAGAAGAGAAGGCTCTGTGGAGACCTTAAAGTGGCCTTCCACTACTTAAAGGGGGGCCTACAGGAAAGATGGGGAGGGACTCTTTATCAGGGAATGTAGTAATAGGACGAGGGGTAATGCTTTTAAACTGAAAGAGGGTACATTTACATTAGATATATTAGGAAGAAATTCCCTACTGTGAGGGTGGTGAGACACTGGAACAGGTTGCCCAGAGAAGTTCTAGATGGCCCCTCACTGGAAGCATTCAAGACCAGTTTAGATGGGGCTTTGACCAACCTGATCTAGTGGAAGATGTGACTGCTCATGGCAGCGGGGTTGGAACTAGATGATTTTAAGGCCCCTTCCAACCCAAACCATTCTGTGATTCTATGATCACGGCAACATCAACAGCTTTAGAAGCTGCTATAGATGCCCACCACTACACGGGGACAGGAGATTGAAGCGTTACCCTCCCACAACACCTTTCCCTAGAGAGGAGCAAAAAGGTTCATCAGACACTATTCAGCAGTCTGCATCTCACCCCTCTTACCAGCACATTCCTTACATCAGGCAGGCAGCAGCACAAGGGACTGTCTCTGGTGGGACATATTCATACAACATTGTGGGCATTTCAGTATCACATATTATCTCAACATCAGGAAGGCCTACAACTCCAGACACCTTGGAGCCTAGAAGAGAATCCTGGGCAGGAACACTTCGTGCCCATCCTGCCTCATGCTTTCCTCTAGGCATCCGCCATTCCCCACTCTGCTACATGCGTTCTCAAGACAAGCACATCATCTCCCATTCTTCTTTTCTTACAACATGGCCCATGGTCTTCCCAAGGATTTCTACCTCCCTCAGACAAGTCTTCCCACTGCTCAAGGTCACCTTTCACATGGACCCTTCAAGGACACGGACAGGCGCTATGCACTACCACTGCCACATTCACCTCTGCAACATGTCACAGCTTCCTTTCCCACCTCAAGGCTCAATCAGACTTTTGCAGACCCTTCCCACCAATGACAGCACCATAAAAATAACCACAGACGTATCACATGCACGCTGTCCGTGTCACACTCCAATCCCTGAACACTTTATGCTACTAACTAGAGTAACAACACAAGAAAAGTCCAACGCAATGCCTTTCCTACTTTCATCATGACCCTGGTGGGAGAACCCAAACGGAGAATTGTTCTCTCTACGGGGAGAGAAAACCTGGAAGTCCCAGTTGTCACCTTGCATCACATCGTTTGCAGAGCAGAGTCGCAGAGGACAGTCACAGAGGAGGAGGACAGAGTTTTCGACAATGCCAATACCAGCACGATCTGCAGTCAGCAAAGGTAATAGGGCAGCAAATACAGCCTGGGCGGGGACTGTCACCACCACAGCCTGCGTGTCCTG